TTGGTAAGCTTCTTTTTTTTTTGTCTAAAATCTTCTTTTCCTTGATTTTTTTGAAAAACAAATTCAAATTTAACTATAGACTGTTAAAACGTAAGTTTAATCGCTATTTTAATTAGACAATAAAATATAACAAAGCTCCGGTGATAGGCAAAAAAAAGAAAGAAATGCTAATTCGATTATTTCATATAATTAAAATAAATTGTTTATGTTCTGTGTTTTAGGGTTGGCTAAGTCCAGGACAAAGTTACGTACTTGAAGGTAATTATTTTACTATTTAGGTTAATAGTATAAGTCACAATAATGAACAGATAAAACTAGTAACAAGAGGTTCATTGGTTTTATAAAACTCTATCTAAAATGAGTATCGAAATATGCATTTCACTAAAGCCTATCAGAACCGGCTCCGAATACTTTGGACCTGACGGACTCTATCCCTTACAGTTTGGAACAGACGCTAGTCAAAGACCATATATCAATAACGTCTTATTATAATAAATGTATTATTTCTTTATTATATTTCTGGAGAATGAAGTAAAAGGATTTTGAAGAAATGTGCTACAAAATAGATAGAATAAAACAATCTTTCCGTAATTAGCAAGTTCAGCTATATCATATTTCAAATTTTAATTCTGTAGGAAATGTGCTACTTGTTTTTTTCTGATTGAGTTATATGGTCTTGATGATTCGTAAAATTTTCGTGACAAAAAAAGACTAAATAGCATCCTTTTTAACCTTGAAGAATTGGCATGAGAACTGAATTTTATGACAAGATTTGATAGCTTTTTTGAAAAATTTGATATATAAATATTTGTATTTGTTTTATTTTAAAATAAATTAATCATTTATTATTTAGAATATTGTTCTCGATATGGTGTACGTGGTTGTTTAAGACATTTATATTATTTAAATGATTTACTCGACCGAGCTGAACAAGGATTTATGATTGATCCACAATTAATTCATTATAGTTATGTATTTTGTGCTTCACATGTCTCAGGAAATAGGTAAAAAGATAAATATTTCATTTAATATAAAGCAAACATCGATTTGATTATCTTATAGACCTGATAATAATGTATCGACAATTACAATGGAAGAAAAAGATCGTTTTAATGAAATAAAAGAACGATTAAAATTATTTCTTGAACATCAAGTTACTAATTTTAGGTAAGTTTGTTTTTTTTTTTTACAAATAAATAAATTGAAATAAATAAATATTTTCTAGATTTTCATTTCCATTTGGTCGACCCGAAGGTGCATTAAAAGCAACATTAAGTTTATTAGAACGTGTTTCAGCTAAAGATCTAGCTACACCAATATCTCGTGATGATATACGACATTTTATTGGCAAATGTCTTGAAAATGCAGCTTATATTAATTATACACGTGTATCTGATCAAGCTAAAATTGAAGGTAAAAAAGAAAAATATTTTTGAGAGACGGGGGATGATGGGGACAGGGGGAACATTTAATCAAAATAAAATAGAGAACGAAATATGAAAAGATAAAAGTATATTTGCCATCGCACTCTTTGCTATATCGCCGCCGCTAGCTGCTCCGATGTTGTAACCAATGTTCGTTTTCTTTTCTCTTGTTTCTCTTTTTTTTATTATATTTGGAAATAAAATTACTAGTATAGATGTATATGTGTGAGTGTATATGGGTTAGTTCGATTGATCTATTCTTTTTCCAGGCGAACGAGAGACACAGCAGCAAACAGATAACGGTAAATTTCATGTGTCTTATTTTTTTTTTTCTAATTACCTTTTTTTACAAGTGATGTTCCGTAAATAAAAGCTTTTCCCATTCTTTTTTATCCCTCTTCTTTATTTTTTTGATTTTAAATAAATGAAAAAAAAAAAAAAAAATTTTTCTAAATGAGATAATATGCTTTTTGTATTAAGTAACTATTCTGAATTGATTTTCTCGTTTTCATTGTAGCAATAGCAGCTTTTTGTTTGGCAATGTTGTAATTTTTTTTTAATAATCTAAATGCCTTATTGTGTATCGTGTATAGCATTGTTGTCATATAACACATACATTTCTTATATCTTTTTTATTCTTCTCCATAGTTCATCCATAAAAAAAGCGCATGCAATTAAATGGTTGATCTATGATTTTGACACCGTTATCCCCCTGAAAAAAATTAAACATTTATCTTTTTTTTTTCTCTTTAAAATTTTTTTTTTTTTTTATTTTTATTTTTTTTAATTGTTTTGTTTTTTTTTTTTTTGTTTTTTAATTTTTTATCTAGAAACAGTTTACAATAGTGATGATTCACCGAGAAAAAAAGTTGATGATTTAATTCATCTAGCTGAATTATGTATTGAATTATTACAACAAGATGCAGAACATTATCGAGAAGCATTTCAACAATATAATGATTTAATAATTGAACATGAAGAAATTTTTTGGTCATTATTTGCTGTTGATATGGAACATGTTATTGATCAGCAACCAATTGAAAGTTGGGATTCATTTCCATTATTTCAATTATTAAATGATTATCTTCGAATGCATGGTAACATTTTATTTTAGTTCGCTTATTTATACTGAAATTAGTTTTTTTTTTCAGAGTCATTATCAAATGGTCGATTTCATCAACAGTTACGTGATACATTTGCACCATTAGTTGTTCGTTATGTAGATTTAATGGAATCATGTATAGCACAATCAATACATAAAGGTTTTGAAAAAGAAAATTGGAAACCAAAAACGTATGAAAATTTTTTCTTTCAAATTATAATATTGTCATTTTTGTGGTTTATTTTAGACGAGGATGTGCAACAAGTGAAGATATTTTATGGAAACTTGATGCCTTACAATGTTTTATTCGTGATTTACATTGGGTATATCATTGTGTTTTCTTTTTTTAATGAAATCTTTATAATTAACAATTATTCTTTTTTTTTTATTAGCCGGATGAGATCTTTGGGGAACATCTTGAAAAACGTCTTAAACAAATGGCCTCAGATATGATTGAAGCTTGTACAAAAAGGTATTTAAAAGTTTCTATGTACCGTAAAAGTCCTAAGTATAAATCGAAGTTATTAAATAATAGAATTGTGTACGTTTAAATATTTACTGTAGGTATTCTCTATTGAATAGATAATTCAAAATCAACTTTAATGTATCTATTGAAATAATTTTGATGAATATTTTAGAGTATGGCGTCATTTTGAAACATGGATTAAAAAAGGTGGTTTAATTGGTGGTACTAGTTCAGATTATCTTTTACCATCTGAATGTTGTGTTATGATTAATGTTATACTTGATTGTAAAGTTCAAGTAAAATAATTGATTGTTTGTTTTTCTGTATTAATAATAGATTTTTTTTTTTCTTATCTTATTAGGCTTTAAAACTATGTGCATTGCATAGTGGTGATCTTCATCAATATCATACACGTATTGATGAATATTTAGAAAAAATTTTAAGTGATATGTCAAAAGCATTAATACAAAAATTACTTAGTGTTCTTGATTCTATATTAAAAAAATTATCACGTTATGATGAAGGATCATTTTTTGCTCAAATACTTTCATTGACAGTAAGAATTTTTTGTGTTTTTGTTTTTGTTATTGTTATCTAATTATCTTTTACTTATTCGAATTTAGAAACCAATTAATGAAGATGGTCAAGCATATGTATCATGTGTAAATGCTAATTTAGAACAGTTACGTCAAAAAATTAGTGATGAAATATTTACATTAACTATATTTGAAGTTAGTTTCATAATATTGATTTTGATTTTATTTTTGAGTCAATAAATATTTTCAAAAAAAAAAAAAATAGGAATGGTATCGACAACAAACACAATTTATTTTTATGTGGCTTGGAGAACGAACAGAAATTAGTCTTCATCCATATCAATTAGCTTGTTTAATGTTAATAGTTAAAGTAAATTTCGAATGTTTTGTAGTTTGTTTGTTTTTTTTTCATTGTAATTTTATGTGTTTATTTATAGAAAACTCATGGAAGTTTTGAATTACAAGGTGTTCAAGAAAAAGATCTTAATTCACAGTTGTATAATAGTATAATGCAAAGATTACACGTAAGAAATAAATAAATTTTTATTGATATTTATGTATTGTGCATGTATGTATGTTGTAAATATTATTGTTGCATGGCTTATTGTATGTATTGTGGTATGTGTACCAGCGATTGAAAATAAGAATACTAATTTATTTTGTTTCTTTTTGTTTTCAGTTCGAAGAGACAGCAAATGCAGTAAAATAAACAAACGAAAAGACATCGTCTTGTTTACGAAATAGTCTTCTATATATATATTTGTGATCTTTGCTGATAAAATACTATATTATTATCTAATTTTACTTCTTCTTTTGTTTGTTTTTATACTGTTGTCTAAATAGGGCAATCAGACTGTGAATCGTTTTTTTTGTCATGTTTTCAATCTTTAAGTTTTATTGTTTTTTTTAATATGCTTCGAACTTCTATATGTTCTAAATGACAATGACTCAACAGTGTATTGGATTGGTTTCTTAAAGCCGGTGGATCTTATATATTCTGTTATCTTCTTCTGTCCAGGTCTATTTTATTTGTTGCAATATTTATCATCATCAAAAATCGAAAAATAATCGAAACAGCAATATTGAAAGAGTTTCGTGCAACTATTCAGTGTGGTGTCTCTATATCTCTTTTTTCTGTGGCAAAGTGATCCTCTTCTTGTATAGCTTGTCTTTACAAAATAACAAGTTTTTTTTTTCTGTGTGTACCTTTTCTTTTATTTTTCGCCTTCTTTTTTTTTTCTTCTTGAAAAAAGCCTGTTATCGCTATTAATCTTAATTCCATCAATTTCTTTCTTTTTCTGTTTTTTTTTGTATTTGTTTGTGTGCTCTTTTCTTTAACACATCTTCTTAAAAAAAAAAAAGAAAAGGAAAACAAGAAAACATGAAAGAAATAAGTATTTTCTATGCAATATAGAATCGAATACGAATAATTTTCTTCGTTTTCAGATGATTAAAATTTGTCAGATAGTATAATGGATTTAGTAGATGTTATTGAATTTCGTACAACATGGAATAATGAAATATTTCTTAAAAATAAATCAGCTTTTTTAGCAGCAAAACGATTAATTAGAAAAAGTATTATTATTGGTAAGAAATCAATTAATGACTAATTGTTTTTTAACATTTTTTTGTTTTATTATTCATAAGTTCAAACACGATTATGTCGTCAATTAAAATATACGGAAAATAATTTAACAATTGAATTACAAGCTATAGAACATGAAAAACAAATATTGAATAACTATCGTCATTCAAATTCATTAGCTGAACATTTACAACAAGTAATAGAATTATGATAAATGATTTTCATTGATTTATTTCATATATAGTCTAGTCTGAAAGTCATTAGGGAGTTTTTAATTAGGAATAAATTATGATAAAAGACAGAAACAGAACTGCAAATTTCACTGTAGAAAAGAGATGACTTGTGGGTCCTCCCTAACCCTGTCCTTGGTCCAAAGTTTTATATTTTGTCGGGCACAGGTCCACGTTTCTGTGTACACGTACCTTCTTCAACTAGAAAATGAAGAACGAAATATAACTGTACGTTGACTTTTTTGTGAGAGTAGCAATAAATAGGTAAAACTTTGAACCTTCTCTTGTTCAATTACATTGAAGACACCAGATAATGGTGAGAAAAACCTCAAGTCTAAACTCGCTCACGTTTCGAGCCCACAAAACCGTGAAGAAATTAAAATACTATGAGAATTTCGGAAACCTCGGTTTTTTAAAGCCCTCTTAAATGTAATTTTTTTATATGGTTCGATTCTCTGGAAGTTTTATCTTTTCAATGGTGAAAATTCTAACTCTCTCTTTTTCTTTCTCTCAAAAATTATTCGAAATCAAAAACTACCTGATGACTTTTGAATTACTCTGTATATATGTTTCGTTTTTTTTTTAGAGATTAAAAATATTAAAAAATGAAATTGATAATTATAATCTTCAAATAAAAAATATAGTTAAAAAAGAAAAAGAATATTGGAAACATTTAGAACAAACAATTGCAAAGTTAGTAAACATGAAAATAACCAACAACTTTGATATTTTAATATTTATCATATTTTAATAGACGAACACATATACATAAAACAACAACGAATAATTTCAAACCTTTGGAAAATTCATCAAATCCTCGCCCAATTGTTGTTGTCAATGCTACATTTGTTATGCATGTTGATAAAAATAATGAAAATTTACCTCCATTAGAACCTAAATCTTGCGAAATAGATAATACGGCTCCTATAAAAATACCTAAAATTCGTAAAAAGAAAAAATGTGCATCGTAGTCAGATATGATATTTTTCCTGCACACACACACACCCATATACATATATAGATATAATTGTTATCTTTTTATAATGATCAAAAGAAAAAGAAAATTGAAATTAATCATTATGTTTTCATATTATTGTTCTTTAACTATGATAGAGATATTGCAATAAAATATTGAACTTGTAAATCTTTTTATTTCTTTTTTGCACAAAGAAAAATATATTCAATATAATCGTTGAAACGAAATTAAGAAAGAATTTCTTATAAGAATATTCAACAATAATTTATTATTCCAAGAATATAAATCAATCTTTAGATATGTTTTACATATTTAAACAAAATTATTATAATTTCAATTCGTTGTGAAGCAATACTTTGAATCAAATTCTTTTTCTTCATGAAACGAATCAACATTTCTTTTATAATGTAATACAAATATATATTTAATGAGATAGATGTTTATTTAAAGGTATTCAAGTAGCTTTTTTATATTCTCATTGACATAATGTAGGCTTCAGTGACTATAATTTGAATTTATTTTAATATTATATAAGGTAATGTCTATTCGATTCAACATAATCTATTCAAAAGAAGTTAATATATGTTTCACTTATTTCCCAATATTATGAAAGTTTAATTATCAGTCATATACTTTCAAAAAGATAACTTAACAAAAATTAATCTGAAAACTTGAGACATCTATCGTTGAAATGAGATATGCATATATATGTTTTCTTCGTTGGAGATTTTTTTTCAAAATAATCTCATCTGTCGTCAAAGCAACAATGTGCATAATGGTAATGTCATTCATTTTTCTATCAATCAACATTTGAAAAAAAAAATGCTTCGACGTCCACCTGAATTACCACGTTCAGTTAATGATCGTCTCAATCGATTGGCAACATCAGTATTTACACCTAGGGATCCAAATGATTTGAAACGTGGAAATAATCTTGTTTCTAAAGAAGCTCGAATTGAAATTGATTATTCATCAAGTTTACCATTGCAAATGTTATTATATTTTAATATTTGTTTTTTTCCTTGTTGGCTTTTTTCATTAACTTTCGTTTTACCTGTATTATCAATGTTACCCAATGCAAATGATCATAAGATTTTGATGATATTTGCATTTATTTTTAAAACAATTATTGAATTTATTAGATTATATTTGGGTTATACAGGAAATTTAGCTGAACGAATGCCTGAGTTAACAGCATTTTGTTTACTAACAATTATATTTCAAATACCATTAAGTATATTTTTACTTATCTATCCATTAATTCAAAATATTGAAATGCCACTTATTTTTGCTGTTGAAATTATATATATAGCATTTATTGTATTAGAAGGAGCATTTGGTATTTATGCTGTACGTATTATGGTTGCAGCACAATCAAGTCGTTTTCATTATCGACAATTTGAAGAAATTCAATCAATTAGTAATAGTCGACCACCATCTGGATAAACTGTTCTTGTGTTTGTTGTTGTTCTTTTTTTTTCGTAGCTATGTAAAAACAAAACAGATAAAATATTTGTTTTTTCTTGTTGGGTAATCTATTTTATTCATTTCATATTGATGTACTTCTAGATATTGAAAAATAAGATAAATCGATGCATAAATCTTATCAACCAACACGTCCAGCTGCTAATCGTCTTCTTCAAAAAAAATGGGATGATAAATATTATTCAGAACATCGACTTTTGGTAATTAAATTAATCATAAAAAAAGAAGCAACTGATGATTTCAGTTCGTGTAAATTTCCAAAGTTTACTATCGGTTTATTTTTACTTCAATGCAATTTTAATTTAAAGTTTATGAAAATATTCTCTTCGTTTTGATTAGAATGTTGCACGATAGTGGAAAACATTCTATGGCAAAACCAAAGAAAAAATATATGATAAATATTATGAAACAAAGTTTTTATATGATCAATGAAAATTTACACGAAATTCTAAGATCATCATTCTTTACGAACTAGTCATTCGTGAAGTCTGTCTAGTTGATCTTGAAGCTAGTTTCAGGATCGACACTACGAGTCACACTCTAAAACGAATATTCCATGATGACTTGAGTATTATAGGATGATTATTAAGATGATCTAAGAAATGTGTATGGCGTATTAGTAATAGAAAAGAAATAAACAATCAACTAGTTTGAAAATATTTTGCAACCAACGTCCTATATTCGTTTGTTGTATTTCTATTTTTAATTAATGATCATTTTTAGGTACGTGATGCTCGACCAACTGTTGACACACGTCCACCAAGAACATATATGCATCTTCATATGAAACTGAAAAAACTTCAGGTATATTTTTCGTCGTATTTTGTTTTTGTTTTTCTTCTATATATATTGAATTAATTCTATATAGTTGGATATAAATTGTAAGTGTGCTTATGCATTTTAGGCTATATAAAAAAATTGATTTATTTGTTTTTTTGTGTCATTTAATAAAATAGTATGCGCATGTTTTTTTTCTTTCTATATAGTTAGAAGAAGAACGTTCGGCAACAATTGAGCGTGATAATCGTATATTATTAGAAAAAATGTCGAATATTATGCGTACAACTGGTAGTATTGATAATCGTAATGATTATGAGGCAAAAAGGTAAGAGATTAATTCAAGGTTTTCCTTCTCTTCTAAAAGTTCGACTTTTTTAGATAAACATATCGACATTTTCCTTAAAGTATCTATTTTGAAAATTTATAAGAATGACTTTTAATGTTAAAAAGTTTCTTTCGTATCATAACAAGTTTCTAGAGCTCTCCAGCGAAAAATTCGAATACCATATCCATAGGAAAATTATAATCGCTATTGTAGTTATGACTCTTACTTATCGCCAGAAGGCCACTTGAGAAGACTCGAGATGAATTTTGAATTGACACGCAATAAAACTATATTTGATGCTTATATTAGACAGTTCTTCAGGTGAACATACAATAAATATGTTTGCGCATTTTTTTTTATTAGATAGATAAGATTTTAGAAGTTTTAAGATTTTGAGGTCCATAAGAAATACAATAAAATAAAAGTTGAAAAACACGTATCTTTCGTTAGAAGCGACAAGACGTTCTCTATGAAATGAGAGTAGCACGAGCGTTGTACATTGAAGTGCTTTGAAAATAACATGATTACGCATGAAAGCTCTATTTTGTAATATGGTTTCTGGATAGTAAGATTTGGAGTCGTGAAAATTTTTTAATAGTGTAGTACTTTCATTAGTCGAATACCTTCTGAAAGTTTCATGAAAATCACATGTACCGTATCGAAAATCGATTTTGAAGAGGAGGGAGGCCTTATAAGTATATATTCTATTATTTACTTATTCTTTTCTTCTTAGTCTTAATCATGAAAAACGTCGTCGTGAATTATTACGTGTATCAAGAGAAAATTCAACAATGATCAAAAGAATTATGGATCGTAAACCAGACATAAATCGAGACAGCTGGACAAATAGTTGGTCAAAAAATTTATCTTATTTAGATAATATATCGAAATATGATTCTGATTGGCATGAATCAAAAGTAAAAAAATAATGCATTGTTGTTCTCATATTTGTCAATGTTTTTTTTTTGTTTTATTAATTAGCCGAGCAGTCGTCAAATTCATAGTCGACAACAATCATCGAAACGTTCGGTAGATGGTACACATGATAATCAGAAAAGTATTAAATCTCTTGTTATGCCAAATGAAACAGATATAACAAAAGTAGATAATAATGATGCATAACAATAATTCTTCCATCATTTTACACTGTGTTGGTTAAAGATTTCAATCGAAAAATCTTACGATTTTGGCCTTAACTGTGTCTTTTTCGCCTTAAAATGAATGATAATAGTTTTTTGTGAAAAAAATAATCTTACCCTTTTATTTATGAAAAAAGTCATTTATTTTATATTATTCCCTAAAATCTCATTTATTATTATTATTATTACTACTATTATTACTATTATTATTATTATTATTATTCTTTTTTTGTATATTCCTTACGTTTTCCTTACTAGATTCAACATATTCTGTAATAAAACATCGATTTTTTGATTGAAAATTATAAATTAAAATTTGTTAAATGACATATTAAATATGTAATGTCTATGTCGTGAAAAATCCATTTAATGAAATATGACCAATATTGATATAAGATTTGTAAGAAATATGACAAAATCAAAAGAGTGCAAATAAGCAAATAAAGACAAAGACTAAATAGGTAATAGAATTATATGACATGGTTATTGATATGTCTTTAATCTATTAGATTTATTAACGGATAGAAGTGCTTGATCAGATTAAACATGTCTACTATTAATTGAAACTGTGTACATCGCTTGAATCATAAATACATATTAAACGAACAAACATGTTCTCAGGATAGGAACTGTTCCTTGTTATTTTCATCAAATCTTTGATGGAAAATTGAAGAAATTGAGATCATGAATGCATACTTTTCCGACTTCTGGGAGATTTATGGAAAAAACCGTCGATCTTCAACAAGATTTTCTCATTGCCAAATGTGTTTGACAGGTACTAAAGTGTTATCTATAAACACAATCGACTATATATAGTTGAATCCTTCAATAATAGAAACCAGAAATCAATACCCCACACAAGCACCTGATAATCACTTAAAGATGTATGTGTTCAAAAGCATTTTTTTTACGATTTTCTCACAGTTCCTCACCAGCGTAAATAATGATATTCGGAATTACATTAGATCATGTAAATAGGAGTTGTGATTGCATTTATCCTGAGTGAATCATCAATAACATTTATAGCTGCTCCATCCGGTACACTAAATAGCCACAAAAATTAAAAGATCCAATGTCAAAAAGTCATCTAAATTTTTTTTCCTAGAAAATGCGTTCAGTAAAAATGTAGTTTCATGAAACATGGACAAATACCAAAACACTTGAAAGTGAAACAACGGATGATCATCAGAACACTTTCAGCATGTCTTTCGTTTTCAGAATTTCCATCGCGCCGTCGCTTCCTTTTTATCCGTTTTGATTGCTTGCAAGGATAAATGTGTTGAGTGCCTGTGTGAAAAGTCGACATAATGAGGAGAGACATGAGTACTCTGAAAAAAAATAAGGTACCATACGGAACCAAAGATAGTTTTGTGCACTCTGCGGAACTTGAAAAGAGCTCCGTACAAAGCTCGAAACTTAAAAAAGGTTTCATACATCGTACGGAACTTAAGAAAGGTTTCGAATTTTGCAACGAAATCGAAACCATTTTGAGATTTCGTATGATACTTTTGAAATCTTCAAAAAATATTCCTACAGCTTTGACAATCATTTTGAATCTAATTTGGGGTTTTACGAAACCTTAAAAAAAGGTTTCGATTTCGTTGTAAAAAAAGGTTCCGTATGGTACCGTTTTGTTCGGAGTAGAATGTAATGTTTTACCATGTTATTGGTCAGAGCATTGGCAAGATATGGCTCCTTCGTCTATGATCTCATTTTCCCAAAGGTCCAGTGTACTGAGTGTCTGTATGAAAAGTCGACACAGTGAAGAGCAACATGAGTAGAAAACGGTGTTTTACCATATTATTAGTAAGAGCATTAGCAAGATGTTTTGTACCTTTATTTCTGATTTTATTCCACTCTAGATTCAATGTGGCGAGTGTCTGTGCGTAAAGTTGAAATTGTAATGAGTGAGATGAGCAGATAACAGTGTTTTACGATGTTATTACGAAGAACTAAATATTTTGTACAACTTTTTCACATTAGTCGAAGTGCAGCCAGAAAACTTTGTTGTTTGTCTCACTCTTTGTGACATTCTCAACAATAAAACTATTACTAGTTTTTGGGACGAACTTGAGGCTTGTAATGATCTGACTCTGGTTAAGAATATTGCAACAGTAATTTACACTACATTTTCTAATCTAAAATAATGCGACAATGATCCACATTTGCATTAATATCTTGAAGCAAAAATGTGACTCAATGGACGTCGAATCTTCAAAAATGTTATTTTAAAGTATGCTGCTCTATTTTATCCTTAAAACAACATGCTTCGTATGCCAGCTATTGAATTCGATCAACTCTGTGCTTTACTACAACCATTCAATACTTCACGTCATTGGTGGTTGATCATGATTCAAAAAACCAATCAAGAGGACATCATAGAATAGATTAAGAAACTTCGTTTACCCAGTAGTCTAGCAAGTGAAGGAATGAAATAATAAATTTTAAATATTTGGATAGAAATCAGACAAATGATGTTAATTAGTTATGTCAGAGACTTCGTTTCATATAATGCTTGCATGTGATCGTTATGTAATTGAGAATATAAATAAAACAGGTTTTAATGTAGAAAATAAATGATTCTCGTGCATATGTTGGTATCTATTACATGTGTTCATCTTTGGGCGTTATTTTTACCTAGAAAATAGTTGAAGACCTGTTATGAGAAATCAGAGATAAGGATTAGATGGAAAAAGTAAAGCAAAGATAACTCATTTTTGAAATGAAATTCCTCATAATTAGCGTTTGTATAATTAGATATGCACTGGACGATGTTTTTCACGAAAATACTATTATGCAATATAAAACATGATTTCCAAAAGTCGTTTGAAGACTTCATCGAGAAGTTAGATTTGAATATTCTTCTTTGAAAACGTTGTAAGCTCAATGTTAATAGAAGAACTGGGACTTCTATTGCAGAGAATGCTGGGGAAAAGTTATTTTTTTATTAATTGTTGATGTGAATGTGCGTGTGAAGTATGAAAATGCATTTTCTCGGTGAGTGTGGTCATCAGGAAAGAGATTATATGCTATTACACCCATATCTCCCACACTTTCAAGGTAAGAAAAGAAAATTAAAAAAGCCGTCTTCAAAAATAGTACAGAAAATAAAAATGATAAGCCACTGAAAGATGCATTTCAGTTCTCTAAAGAGAAAATAAAACGAACGGGCAGTATGAAAATATGTGAAATTATATAATGATTGGCTTCTTTCGACTGCTTTTTCAAGAAATCCTGATCTCGCGCACTGTTACAATTTTGTGATCAAATACAGAGTGACCAAATTGCAAGAGTTCTCTTCCTTACAAAGGATACTGTAAATCACTTGTGTGATAAAAAAAACAACGATGTAAGCAAGAACATTGAAAAATTGTGTGTTGCACAAAAAATCAAACTCATGACATACTATAATGATTTACAGCAGCATTTGAAGACCCAAGACAAAAGTATTTAGGTTACGTTCGATTAATCATCCACTGTCATACTCTTGAAAGAAAAGAAAATCTTGACAGACACGTCAAATATTATTCAAGTTGGGTGATTGTTTGTAAACGGTGAAAAAAATGTAAAATTCCATCAAGCCGAAATACGTAGCATTGAATGTTTTTCACTATAATAAAAACATCACTCTGTATGCTAATAAAAGTAACTATGCTGCTTGCACTAGTGAATAGTTGCAAATGGAAGTACACTGAAGAGTGTTATATGTTCGGATGAGTATTCTCGTAACTTGTTGAGGCATGAAAGTGAGTGTTGGAAAGTGATGAAGCCATCGGAATTGGATGCATGAGGACTAATTCAAAAAGACACGGCTGTATAGCGAAGGAACTTATCTGTCAAAGGTGAAAAGGATGTCGCCGTGAGTCTGCATCTAGGCGTGAGAGATAGATATACCTGTGGCTGTAATTATAGATGCGGATGTTTATGTCAGAATGGAGAAGATTATGGCTGTGGGTTGGTGTCGGTGGGTGTGTGTGTGTAGAATAACGTGTGCTTTTCAGGGCATATGTGTGGAAATGGATAGAGAAAAGAGTCAGATCCTTATTTACACTCTATGGAGATAAATACTCGTAAAGTAATATGTACAAGTTGGTTTTCAGCAAACAACTCAACATGCTAAAGATAAAAATAAACAATGGTTCAGGCAACAAATAATGTCTCAGAGAATAAATATATCATCATGACTTGTAGACCAAGAGAAGATGAATCGTTCAAAAGCAGCAAGATTGAGATTCAGAAACGGTCTAACGATCAGAGCTTTCTGAAAAAAATCTTGCTAGTTACAAAACAATCAACAGACTTAATTTTTTTATAAAACAATACTTGTCATATAGCTTCCTCATTAGACTAATGTTAGCAACAATTTTGATGTTAGGAAATTGAGGTATCACCATCGAATAATGATTAAACTTTGTTATTAAGTTATTATTTTAGTATTTTTTTTTCGCGATAGGAGAAAGTACCGTTTTGATGCTATTTTTTTGTTCAATAATACAACTCATTACAAATAGTTTGTAAGTTTTCATTTCTTTACATGCTATACTTTAATAGTTTTTCATAATATAAGCATCTAGGTAACAAGGCAATATTATCAATATAACAAAAAAAAATCATAAAAGTAAATCTTTTAATGCAACATACGATTATGATCGAATAAGAAAGCACTTAAGACTTAACTATTTAGTATTCTCGACAGAGTTTAAGAGCGATTTTTGTAAGTTCAATAATTGCAACAGTTATTAACCTGCGATTTTCTACTATGGAAATAAAAGAATTCAGAATGTCTTGGTGTCTAGTATTATAAGATACAACTTCTCTTAAAACCCATCATGTTCGCAAAACATTTCAAAAAATGCATAAAAACGATATTTCGCTTCGATATAATTTTGATTCTGACATGAGCTTCTTTACATAGAGAGTCTTCAGACCTGTGGTCCAAGACATGATGCAGATGACTGTTCTCTTAGATCTTCATGATGAACAAACAATATCGCGTACTTATTTGGTTATATTGTATAGAGTTCTGTTCATTTTGAGTAAACTTTCTAGCCTTTTATTAAAATTTCTCTGGAATAGAACGTTGATTTCGCGCATTTTTTTATGTTTTTCAAAAATAATGGATTTTCAAATAATTTCGTCGTATATGGTATCAAGCTAAAATACACTCGGTGTCCTTCTCCTTTGCTTGCTGTTGCTGCTGTCAATTTATTGAGATTAAATTCATCTGTCTGTAATTCTGACGCATACATCAGGGAAATGTGCATATGATGCTCAAAATACTAGCTGAGAAAAGATTAAAGTTTACTCTATCAGCTAACTTTTCCATTCTCTTTTTTTTATTTGATCATATCTATTTCAAAAATTTCCAAATTACACAATGCTCATATTACTAGTACACAGAGACATCTGATCTTTGTCTAGTAATCTATTTCTTTTTTTCTATATGAACTGAAAATTTCGATCAAACACTCATTAATTTGATCAATGAGGACTTTTCGCTGAGTTTATATAATTTTTCTTTTTTAAAAATAAAAACTAAACGAACAACAAAAAAGAAATAATTAGAAGATTACCTCACAGATGCTCATGATTTAAATTAAAAGCTATGCCAATGAATCTATCAGTCACCTATTTGTCTGAAGGATGATTGCTATGATGTCATGTTTAACTACTTCTCAGAATTAATGATCATTCTATGATCTGATCTGAATAATATATTGATTAAAAAAGCTTTTCTCATATTCACTCTAAAGATTGGACCGAATAAATTGATGCCATAGGAGCTTTAATATAATATCTATGAAAAATTTCTGTGTAAACCAAAAATAATATATTTCGGTATCCTACGCAAGCTATAATAATTCCATTTTTGAGAAGTTTTGTTTGATGAATAGATATATTTCAACATGTAATTTAATAAGATGAAGATTTTTTTGAATTTGTCAACAGCACAAATTTGATACTTTCTAAATCGATGAATTTTATACGATGAACTATTAGACGAGTAAAATTTTCATCTATGAAAATAATCGAACGATTGTTGTGAATAGTTTATCTAAAGTTTTGAACTCCAACTATTATGAACAAATGTTTTCAATTGCTAATTATAAGATGCTAGAATTTGTTATTCACTTTTCAGAAGATTTCAATTTGACTTGAAAATAAGCAGTAATCGAATATTTGCACCTTCACATTTAGTGACATCTTGAAAACAATATATCCGTACCACTATTCTATTATTCGTATGTTTAATAATATAAATCTCAAAATATAGATTTGATATCGATCAGATTTTATAAAATATTAGTTCTTTTATCTAAAATATTTTCTGAATAACTATGCATAATAGATGTCAGGTGAAGTAAATCAAAATATTATTGTTGTTCGCACCTTGTATAACATGAATCACCAGATTATTTTTTTTTTCTTCTGATTATGTTCTGGTAGAAAGAACAAGTTGTTTGATCGCCAATATTTATTTTGTGTTGCAAGAAAAAAAAAATCAAAAGGTAACTTTATTTTACTTTCTTTTTTATAGATACTTTTCATCAGTATTGTTTTACTGTTATAAAATCGAATGAATCCATCAATGGAACCACAAGCATTTGGTGCTGGTCGAGCTGGATCTACATTTGATCTAATTGATTTTATAAAAAGACCCCAGGTTATTTTACGACTTGTTTCTTGGGTATGTAATAAATAATTCTTAAATATTAGTGAAAAAAAAAAATCTTTTCAATAGGTTTTTGCTATTATTGTCTTTGCATGCATTGCACAGGAAGGTTATGCGAATAATATATGTCGTTATAATGGTTCAAATGCTTGTGGATATGGTGTTGCAATTGGTGTTATAGCATTTCTTTTTGCCATGCTTTTTATGGGACTTGATGTCTATTTTCCAAATATATCAAATATTACACAACGTAAAGGAATCGTTTTGGCAGAAGTAATTACATCTGGTAAGAATAATTGGGCATTTTTTTTTCTTTTGTTCATCAAATCATGCATCATCTTAGGTATTTTGGTTTTCTTATGGTTTGTTGGATTTTGCTATATGGCTGATCAATGGCGACAAACAGACGAGAAAGATATACCCGGATGGAATGGTCGTAATAATGTTCAAGCAGCTATTGCCTTTGCTTTTTTTTCAATTTTTTCTTGGGTATAAAATATTGATTTGAATTTGATAATATTAATCAAAAGATTTGGTTTTTTTTACAGGGTGGATTGGTATTTTTTACATTTCGTCGTTATCGTGCAGGTGTTTCAAATTTATTTAGTTCAAGTTATGAAGATCATTCAGCAGGTACCGGACAAACATATGGTGGATACCCACCAGCTGGTGGTACAGGTAGTTTTTCTCAACCACCATTTACGGCAACACAACAAGCACAATCAAATTATCAACCGCCAACATATTAAATGATGCTTTTATCAATGACATACAAAATAAATGATTTTTCTTTTTCGTGTCTTATTTACACTACTTTACCTATTTTTTATTGTTTTGTTTCGTGAATCTCCTATTGAATGCTCACAAATCCTTCTTTTTGCTGTTGTGATGGGACCAAAAAACAAAACAGTGACAATATTGTACTCTTCTTTTTTTTTTTCTTTCAGGATTTTCATTGTTCAATTCATTTATTTTTCTCTATATTAAACATGATCTGTCCTTGTAAACTATTGAATAAATCAAAAATGAAATGATCCTCGTTGAATTTCAGATCAAAAACAAAATTAAAAACACTCGACACTAGTCAGATGAGTGTTTGAATGAACAAAAAAATGAAAGATACTTAAAACGATGATCATTTCATTTTGTTTTTTTTTTTGTTGTTGTCGTTTTGTCTTAGTATTATTCTATGTATAACTCATCAATACGTTGTGTATGTTGTTGTATTTTATTTCTGAACAAAATAAAAAACATCCAAGCATTCCCTTATGCACTTTTTTGTTTGTTGTTGTGAAGGCATTTTTTTCATTTATATTTGCCATTCGATTATATCTTAGTGTCGTTTATTTGTCATGTATTTTAAATAAAAGAAAAAGTATATAGATTTGAAAACGATGGGCAAAAAGAAAAAAAAAAGTTTTGATTGATTTATATTCAAGTGTTGTTCTGTTAGATAATAAGAACCATTTTTCTTTGCATTATTGCTCAAGCTTGAAGTGCAAGGACAAATAAGAATAAGATATATATATATATACATATAGTTACTTTTTTTCTTCTTCTGCTATTTTTACAACTCTTACAATCAGACGATATCATTGTTCGAGTGTGATGACGAAAAAAAAAAACATCTCGCCGGGAAAAATGCAAGAAACTTTTCTTTTTCTTCTTCTTCTTCCGGACGGATGAATACTACATGAAGCAAATACATAATAAATTCACCAGCTAGTGACCTCTTCATAAAAAAGTCAATTGGTTTACATACAGATAATGATTCACACAGCTTTCAAATCGATTGATTTTGAAAGTTTTCCAACTTAACTCAAGTATTTTCCTCTATAATTAATCTTCTTTGAATGGCTTCATTCTCCTCCTCGTCATCAATCAGTTTAATTAAACCAATTAGAAAAAGACGTTTAAATTCACCAAATGATCATATAATGGTTCTTATTAAAGAATGGTATAATGATGCAAAAGCAAATGGTACTCAAACAATTCATTGTTATAGAAAAGTACTTGAATTGATGAAAGAAAGTATGATTTCATAATTCTATAGAAATTTTTAATTTTTAAGGCATTACGATCATTAGAAAAATATCCTCTTCGATTAGAAACAGGCTCTGATTGTCGAATTTTAAATGGATTTGGTGAAAAAATATGTGAAATGATCGATCAAAACTTAAATATTAATAAAAAACCAATAACACCAAAAAAAACATTATGTAAAACAGTATCAATGTCAAATTTTGATGATAGAAAAAAACCTAATACAATTATTAATCTTAGTGATAATGATGAAGATAAAACTGCTTCACCACCCGCAAAACAGGCAAAATTAAATAATGAAACTAAAAAAATAAAGAAGACATGTAGTGCTGGACCAAAACTATTTAATAATCCAACAAATATGACAATACAATCAACAACTATTTCAACACTTCTTGGTATTATTGATTCACCTGTAAAAAAAAATTTAATTGAACCAAAATCTGTACAAACATTAAAAGCTGGTTCATATCATATAATTCTTTGTATTGATAATGCTGAAGCATCAAGACCAACACAAAAAATTCTTCTTGAAAATTTAACAAAAAATTCAATTAATTTTGAAGTACGAAAATTAAATCTTGGTGATTTTCTTTGGACAGTTCGATGTAAATTATTTATACGAAATATTTGTCTGTTATTTATTTATTGATGTATTTTATAGCTAATGATTCAGATATCAAAGTAGAAGCTATTCTTGATTATATTATTGAACGTAAACGTTTAGATGATTTATCGAAGAGTATTATTGATGGAAGATATAATGAACAAAAAGTAAATTATGATTTATTGAACAAAAAGAAATATAATAAATCTCGTTTTAATGTTTTAGTTTCGTCTTAAGCAATGTGGTATTACGAATTTAATTTATTTAGTAGAAAGTATAAAGAATACAAATGCTCCTGGAATATTAACACCAGCTGCACTTAATCAAGCTATTGTAAATACTCAGGTAGAAAATTTCATTTTTAAAATATTGAATTATCGCAAGATTCTTCTGATACTTAAATATTTTCTTTTCAGGTAGCTGAAGATTTTTTTGTTCGTGAAGTTTCTAATCCAGTTGAAATGGCCAATTATTTAGTAACAATGACAAAACATCTGATTGCACATTTTAAAGTAATTTTTTTCTTTTTTTATTAAAAAATTTTCGATAAATATTCTTTTATTACATATCTATAGGATAAAACATTACATATATTAAGTGACACTGATATGAGTAATAATTATAAAACATCTTATAATGATTCTGAACATTATGTTATGACATTTGATTCATTTAATTCCGGTACTATAAAAAGCAAAGTTTGTATCATAAATGTTTTTTTCTAAATACTTGACAAATAAAAATTTCTTTTTAGCCGCCAACAGTGAAAGAAATGTTTGCTCGTGCTCTTATGCAAATAGCTGGTATGTCAGTAGATAATGTTTTAGCATTGACTGAAGTTTATCCAACACCAGCAAAGTAAAAAAAAAAAAACTTGAAACTTCTGTTTTTCTTGTTTTAAATATAAAGTTCACTGTAGACTTCTTGAAGCATATAATCAATGTTCAAATGAAAAAGAACGTAAACTTATGTTATCATCAATTAAAAAAGTTACAAGCAATCGGTAAGAAAATAAAACTGAAAATTTAATCATTACTATCTTCGTTTTTCTTCTATTTTATTAGAAAATTAGGCAAAGTTTTAAGTACAGCTATTGAAATGCTGTTCAACAATCTTTCTTATCAATAAATTGTTCTTCATTATATAAATAGGACAAAGTCAGATCAAATACTTAGTTTTCTTTCTTTTTTTCTTTATTAAATTTAAAAGAAGAAAAAAAAAACGGTATATATATATATCAAATAAATACAATTTATGTTTTAGATTATATGCAAGAAGCGAATCGTAATACAGATTTAATATTAGAAGCACAAAAATTATTAAAAGATGCTGATTTACGTGGTATTCAAACATTAGATGTTATCAGTAAATAAAGTTCAAAAATTAAAAGAAAAAAGAAAAAAAGAATTTCTTTTTATTTAGCTGATTCATCATCAACAATATCAAAAACAATCGATAAATATATTCTTAATGAACATTTAATCAATACATCACGTGATCTTATTAATCAATATGAACGAAAAGCTAAATTTGAAAAATTAATTATAATGACTTTGCTTGTTCTTTTTTTTGCTGTTGCACTTAATATTGTTAAAACGAGATTACTTTGGTAACAATGAAGATTAACCTTGGTTCATATTGATATAAAAGAAAGGAAACGTTAAACAAATAAATTATTACATTTCGCTTTGTATTTTTTTAGCACTCTCTTGATACTACCTATTATTCTTTTTGTTGCTACTATCACTATATGCTGTATTGCGTATTATACGAAAAACGAAGCAACAAAAAAAAGGAAGTATATAGTAGTATTATTTTTTCATCAGTCTAAACTTATGTGAGTGTGATTATAAGAAAGAAAACGACGAAACGAATCTTTCATTTTCATTCTCACTTTCTGTCTGAGTTGAGTGACTCTCGAAAGTCATACAGAAAAGAAGAAAGGGAAAGAAGTGTGCGTGAATTGGTATTGTCTAATTTGTAAGTCTACGTTTTTTTGTTCTTTCTCCCTTTTTTTTTCTCTTCAGATGGCAGACGACGATGTAGAAGATACATCTCCATCAGCATCTCAACCATTTTTTATTCGTGGTGGATGTAAGTTATTTGTTTGTGATTATTTATGTTCTTAAAATTCTATTGTTTTACCATTATAGTTCCTTTTGTATTTCTTCCAACAACATTTACAACAGGTTTCACTGGTGCAAATAACCATACACGTGTTCCTACGACTGATGATCAAACAAAAACTGAATCAAAAAAGAAAGAAGTGAATGACGAGAACAGTGAAGAAATAAAAGTCGAAGAAGGAGTAGGTATGTACATATACAAATGAAAAAAGAAACTCATTGTAATTGAATGATTGTTCGACATCAAAGTAACAACAATATTTGTTTTCATCTTAGCAAGCCTGGAATAAAAACTAACAAATCAAGTATAAAAAAAATTCTTATTTCACTTCTTTTTCTTTTTTAGAAACTATTGAGAATGATGAAACAGACCACAAAAATGAGAATGACGATAACTCAGATGAAAATAGTGATCTTCGTATTAGTCAACCCGAATATAGTCAATTATTAAAAGGACTTGATTTCAGTCACGCAAGAATGGTAAACTAAAAATGACCGTTGATTTTTCTTGTATTTACTATTTCTACGTTTTCTTTTTGTATTATTAAGGTTGATGTAACAGATCTTTTACCTGATGAACTTGATCAACAAGAAAATAGCTTAACAAAAAATAAAAATGAGAATCTCGAAAAAGTCTTTACCAATACAAAATATCAAAGTTCATCATCAGCCGATTCATCAATATCAAGTGATGACGTATTAAATAATCAAGCATCAAATAATAATCATGATACACATGATAATCAAGGAAACGAAGATGCGAAATTAAAAAATGCTGCTAATGATATACAAGATGATTTAAATAATTTAGCTGCTATTATCCAAGCAGCATCACAATTACCCGTTGATAATAATGAAGAAGAAAATAATGATAATTATTTACAAAAACGGCATACTTTTGATGAAGATGATGATACAAGTAAACAAGCAACACAAAATTATGATCTCAATGATTTTGAGCAAGAGGTTTGAAACTTTCGTTTTTGTTTGTTTTTGTTTTGTTATTCAAGTTCACAAAGTAAACAGTGAAATATGTCAATGCATATTTTTTTACACGTCTTAATCTTCTAAAGAGTATTTCTTATGAATTCAAAACCTTACATGAAGAATCTTGTAGTTGTTTAAAGCAAAATTAACATTTTATTTTTATTCAATAGGATATAGTGCCATCATCAAGATCCAACAAAATGCCTCGTTTTATTAGTCAACAACATTCAAATGATATTCAAAATGAAAATAAATCATCTACAATATACGTAGATATGAATACAAATATTCATACTGATACTCAAAATCAAACAAATGAAAAACAAGAACAAGAAGGATTTATGACTTGGGATAATTTAGTTTATGGAACCAATCCAGTTAGAGAACCAGCAAATGAAATAATATTTTCTCAACCAATTGTTGATTCCCATTTAACACCTAAAAAGCCACAAGAACAAAATCCATTACTATCTTCAGGAGAAAGAATTAAACAACATTTAAATTTATCAACACAACAAACGACTCATCATCGAATTCGTCAGGTAATATCATCATCATCATCATCATCATCAGATACAGATTCTGTTATTCAATATGCATTACATCGTCCAAAACAAAAACAATCATCACCACCATCATCACAACAACAACAGCAGCAACAAGCGACATTACCAAGATTTCTACCACAAACATTAAGACAAGATAGTCAAGCAACATTAATTGATGAAAATCTTGATGATTTGAGTAGTCAATTAAAACAAGCTCTTATTGATCCAGAACGACAAACACTTAATACAAGTACAAAAGAAGAACGAACAATAGATGGAATTGGATCAATGTCATTACCATTATCAACACCAGATATACTTTCAACTAATTTAGTTGATAATGCTGCATCAAATCGAATAAATATTAATTTAGGTCGACATTTATCAAATGAACAAATAAATTATGATCAACAACGTTATCAACATTCATCTGACATTCCTGAAAGTTCAAATCTACAAAGAAAAAACACTCATCCGTATCAAAGACATGTAACATCATGTCATTTTGAACGCAAAGATGGAAGTGGCTCACGAAAACCGGATGTAAATATTGTTATTTAAGACATATTAATGAAAATTCCTATGTTTTTTTTCGTATATTTATAAATAGGATAATTGGTTATCTATGCTTGAGAGACTTGAATATGAACATAAAGCACGTTTAGAAAAACAACAACAACAGTATGAAAGTTCAATGCATAATCTTGAAGAAAAAATGAAACGTCGTTTTGATGATTATCTTACATTAACGAATGGGTAAAAGAAACAAAAAAAATGCTTGTTAGTTTAAAAAACCTTTTTTTATCTTATTTTTCATATAGTTTTCAAGAATCAAGATTAGATAATCATGATGATACAGTACATATATATCCTACACCTTCATCAGTACCAATTGATTCAAATATTGGAAGATATAAAGATCATTCATATCATCATCATCATCATCGAACATTAGCTAAAGATCTTATTTCTCATTATTATCCAGCCGATTCAACACTTAATATTCTTACATCAGAAAAAAGACGATCCATGGGTACAAATAATGTACCACGATCTCGATCAAGAGAAGACATTGCCAAGTACGTATATGTTTATGACAGAAAAAACAAAATATTTTTTAAAAAAAGTCAAAAAATGTCGCTCAAAATATATGTAATGCTTTAAATTTTGTATTACTATGAAATTAAATCAATATTGACTTGAGAATCGAGAAGTTTTGTATTAATAGCACCTTTACCATCAATCTAGATACTTAACATGTTCTTCATATTGAAGTAAACAAGTTTTATAATTAAACAAAATCATGTTGATCAATACGATGACATTTTTTTCATTTCTGTCGGTAAAATCCTAAGGTGATAATCTCTTTATAAATGGCTCTACTAAATAGAAAACGTATTCTTTGAACCTTGAGTAATACTATTTATATGGATTATTAATTAAAAATTTCTTTTAATAAAAAATTGATTGTACAAGTATCGAATCAAGAAAAAAAATACCACATATTTACATTGCAGTAGTGAAGTTTTCTTTGTTTTTTTTTTACTTTCTTTCAATTTATTCTCTTCTTGATTTCTCCTTTCTTTTCTCTTCTCCATGTAACTAATACATTCCTTCTAATTGAATTCAATATGGTTGTTGTTTTTTATTTTTTAGTCTCCGAACAGAACTTTCTGCTCTACATGCAAAACATATAGCTGATTTAAAATTATATTATGAATACGAAATAAATGAACTTAAAAGTCAATTAAATAGAACAAGAATGGGGTTGAAATGATTTTCACTTGGTTTTTTTAATTTTTAATAGTTTTTGTTTTTTTATATTAGTCAAAAATCAAGTAGTACTCGTCAATCAATGGAAACTACCGGACGAATAAATAATGGCAATATTCGTTTAAATGATGAAATAAACGAATTACGTCATTCATTTGTTAGTTTAATGAATGATAAAAAAAAAAACAAGAAAAAAAAGTTTCTCCCTTTTTTGTTTAGAAAACAGCAGAAGAAGAAAATATTTTACTTAAAAAACAATTAGAAGAATTACGTGAACAATTAAATAAGAAAGATCTTGACCTTAAAAATTATCATCATACAATAATTGATCTTGAAAAACAATTAAGCGAAGCTGAAAACGTGCGTACTTATTTAATAGAAAAAACAATGAATGTTTTCTTGTCTTATCTATTTAAATGGATAGTCTAGTTTTAAATGAGTTTTTCGTTAATATTCTTAGACAAAAGAGCGACAAGATGAAAAATTCCGTCATGCAGACAGACAGGCATTACTTTATCGGGAAGAAAATGAAAAGATCAAGACCGATCTTAATCTTACAAGGGTAAATAAATAATTTAATTTCTTCTTTTTTTTTCAGTTTCGTCATTGGCCCGAGTGGGTGAGACGATCTCTATTAATTTTTGGGGAATTTTTTTCGATATTTAGTATAAATAATTTTCTTCTTCTTTTAATTTTTTTTCGTACTATATTAACTCTCAATGATCGATTTGATTTTTCAACGAATAATCATTCAGTTTGTTTGATATTTTTATTTAGGAACGTCTTCTTCGACTTGAAGAACGTTATAGTGAACAAGAAAATGAAAATGAAATTCTACGACGACAAATATTTATGTTAGAAAATGATAATAATCGAATAAACAATCGGTATGAATAAAATTTTTCCTTAATAAATACATTTTTGTTTTTTTTTATCTTCGTTTATTTAAAGAATAAATGATGATCATAAATTCAGTTCAACAATGGCTTTAAATCAGACAACATCAGGAGAATACGGACGTTTTACATTAGGAACAACAAGACATACGTCACCGACATTGAATATATCAAGAGGTACAAATATTGATTCTCGAAGATATCGATCAAATGGTGAGAATTAAGAAAACTTCGGTTTTTTTGACCCAAACTTTTTATTTCTTTACAGTTCTTGTGTAGTTGG